TACAGTTTTTCACCGTATATAGTAGGGGAATTTACCGTTAACCATTTAACAGGTTTTTACTGTAGCATTTTTACAGTCTTTTACCGTTAAATTCACGGTCATTTTTTACAGTGTTGTCTTGTCCAGGATTTACGGCTCTTTGGAGTAACTGTGGACGCGGATTTCCTCATGATGGCTTTAATGTAGGCCTATTTACATGGAACTGTTATTAGTCGAAGATCCGTATGAACTCTGCCCAAGGGCTGGAGGACTGAAGCTCATTCATGGAGTCCAGGGTTCAGCTCAATACACACATCGACTCAAACAGCTGCTGGACCAGGACTCTTGATCTCTACTGGAATGGTTTGCATTCATTCATTTGTTGAGTGTCCTGCTGCACATAACAAAAGACATATTTTAGAGATTGTTTTATAAACGGCACGTTTGTGTCTCAATGCTCTCATGCTTTTTAAACTGGAAGTACAATGCTCTGGTTTTTCCTCCTCTCTTACCATAAGTTTTAGGGAAAATCCATTGATTGCATTGATCTTTTGCCTTGTTTTTCTCTCATTGATGCCCTCATGGCTAAGGGTTTGTTCGCTCATTGGCTGACGGGGATTCGGAAAGGAATGTATTTGTGCTGCTCGCGCAGAAACATACTTAAGCTTTGAACCATTTATATTTTCTTGCAAAAACACAATAAGGTAGCCTACTGTTGCTCATATCCTTCTTACCGCTAATACCCTCTTCGAGTCTGTTAATCTGGCTCCCAAACTGCTTACATTTCCCTCTGGGTCAGCATTTAAGATCACTTGTAATGTACTCGACACAGAGATGTATATTAATTATAAACCTGCTAATTATAGCAGTTCCTTGCTGAGCTCTGCTGTATGGAGTCTGAACTCTGGCCCTCGAGGTCCACTTTCCTGCAGAGTTGATCTCAAACACAGCTGAACAAGCTAATCGAGGTCTTCAGGACTGCTAGAAAGCTACTGGCAGGGCCTGCGGAGTTTGATCAAGGTTGGAGATAAACTCTGCAGGAAAGTGTGTCTGCTCTCAGTCAGTTAGTTCTATGGAGGACTTTAAGTATGCATGCATCTAATCTAAAGCTATTTGACTCTTTTAATTGTTTTTGGATTTAACGTTAATCGTGCATATTCACATGCATTTTTATTCGTTTCTTTTACGTGTTTTTACTTTTATATCTTGTTTCTTTTGTTTTATACCTTTGAAGGCGCCGTATAAAGTAAATATTATTATTATTACGCAGCAGCTGCCTACAGTACTTACAGTAGCGAGTGTAAGGAGTGTGGCTGGTGAGAATGTGCTGCTGCTGCAGTTTCGCTCGTGACCCTTGCCATCTGCGCGCGCACTATAAAAGCGCGTCCCCGCGGCGCCTCGGGTCAGAGCTGCTGCTGCACGCCCGAGAGCTCCAGTCCCGAACCAGAGCCCGAACCAGAACCAGAACCAGAGCACCATGCTGCGTGTGCGATGCCTGAGAGGAGGGAGCCGCGGAGCTGAAGCCGCTCATCTGATCGGCGCTAGGGTGAGAGTAAAGCGCTGCAGTGCCACATGTGCGAGTGTGTGCTGAGATCCCAGAAACCACAGACACCTCCACAGCAATCACAGCTGATTGATTTGATCATAACAATGGACTTGTAGTGTTAAACTCTTAACTGCATTCTCTTTTACAGGTGGAGTGAGATTATAAGTCTTTGACTCTACTGTAAATCATGTTCTTAGAAACAGTTGCATTGGCTCAGAGCTGGAGATCGTGTGTTATGAGTGAGTGACAGCACAGCTGTAGATCAGAGATCCTCCTCCTCGATCACTAACCCAGACTTTGACTCCAGGATCATGAAGAGAGCGTTCAGTGCTGTAGCTCAGACTGTGCGTGCTGAAGCTATAGTCGCGCGATCATGCTGCACACTTTCTCCGGAGCGTCATCTGTTAACAATCTGCGTGTGTATGAGTGTGTGTGTGTGTGTGTGTGTGAGTGTGAGTGTGTGTGAGTGTGTGTGTGTGTG